TGCTCAAACCCGAACCGCCGAAACCAAAAGTAGCCGTTGGATCCGAATTTGGGAAAAAAAATTAATTTTTTAACCCAAAATTTCCCTATAAATACCCTTATTCCCCACACATTTTCCTCACTCAAACTCTCTCAATCCCTCTCAATTTCTCTCAATCTCTCTCACCATTTTTCTAAAAATTATCACATTATTCTAAAGCTCTCTCTCTCTTAAATCGCTCTTATTTTTTTATAATGGATTCTTTTAGTTCTAGTGATATTCCCGTTAATACCCAACACAACGTGGAAGAATGACAATTTCTCACTAATGAATTTGTTACGCAGGAATCTAATAATCCGAGCCCTGGTGGGCGTACTGGAGGTCGTAGTCACAATGGTGGTGGACGTGAAGAAGCGGCGAGTGCAAGTCCAACTGCGTCTGCGAGTGTTGCAACCTCCGGGAGGAAATGTAAGCCCACCTCGACAGTTTGGGATCACTTCGACACAATTAAGGAGATTGACAATGAAGGTAACACTAAACATATAGCTCAGTGTAAATATTGTTTATCTAAATTACAAGGTGACACTATTCACAGCACCACACACTTGAGAAGACACTCCGAAAAGTGTCTTCAAAAGCTTAGCCAATCTGGCGGATCCGAACTCTGTCAAACACAATTATCTTTTGATCGCGCAACCGGTAATCTAACCACTTGGAAATACAATCGACAAGTAGATCGTATGGAAGTTGCACGAATGATAGCTGCTTTAGATCAACCACTTAGTTTTGTAGAGCATCTTAATTGGCAACGATATAATAAGGTTGTACATAATCCTAATACACAGTTCACTTCAAAAACTACTCTTAGGAAATATTTATTAAAATTATTTAAAAAAGAAAAAGAAGCATTAATAAACCTTTTACACTCGACTAGCAGGTGCGTTGCATTAACGGTAAATATTTGGTCTGCCGTTGTCAATAAAGATTATTTAACTGTAACCAGACATTACTTTAAAGGATTTGATTTAGATAAGAGAATATTAGGTTTTAAATGTGTTTTAGGATCACATAGCGCGGATTTAATATATAATATCATTTTAAATGTAATTAATGAATTTAGATTAAGAGATAAAGTAATGGCTATAACATTAGATAATGTTAGTGTTGATTTAAGTTTATTCGGTAACAATACTATTTTCCACCAACGTTGTGCATGTCACGTAATTAATTTAATAATTAAATCCGGTTTAAAAGAAATAGGTAATCACATTAAAGGAATTAGATATAGTCTTGCATGGATTCATGGTGGTAATCAAAGACAAGAAGATTAGTTTAGGTTCTTACAAGCATTAAATATACCTCCTAGAGCATTAGCGTTAGATATGCTTATAAGATGGAACTCAACTTATATAATGTTTCAACAATGCATCCCCTATAAGGATGTTATAATAAACTATATGTGTACAAAATTAAGAGTATGACATATAGACGCACATGATTGGTAAATTGCCGAAGTTTTATATCAATTTTTAAGTAGATTTCATGAAGTTACTCTAAGACTTAGTAGAACATATTACCCAATATTACTTTTAACTTTAGGTGAACTTTTAAGAATTAATATTTAATTTAGCGAAAATATGGAGGACCCAATATTAGGAGTTTCTATCCAATCTATGGAAAAGAAATTTAAAAAATATTGGTCTAAGTTGCTTTTGTTGTATGATTTAGGTACTATTTTTTATCCTAGATTAAAATTAGAAGGTTTAGAAAGTGATTTAGATAATTTAGGTGAATTTTTAGGCATCAATTATTCAGACCAATTTCCAATAATAAAGGAACAAATATATTCAATTTATAGTAAATATGATATTAGGTTTAGACGCACAAACTCTAGAGTACAGGAACCGCAACAACAAGACGAAAACCCGCATTTATTCTTGAATGTTTTCGAGTTGAAGAAAAAGAAGAAGACAACTCAAACAAAAGCTCGGAGTAGATCTTCATCAACAAGTGGCAGCGGCGGCGGCAGCTTCAACGAGCTAATGACGTACCTCAGTGAAGGCTGTAATCGACGGTATTAGAGAATCGTTTGACGTAGTTTAATGGTGGAGGGCACGGGCATTAATTTGGCCAATCCTAACTCAATTGGCAATGGATATATTTTTTATCCCAATCTCCACTATTTTATCCGAACAAGCCTTCAGTACGACAGGACGAATACTTGATGAACGTCGAAATGCATTGCAAAAAGACATTGTTGAAGCCTTGGTCTGCATTAAGGATTGGGATCGTGCCGATCAACGTCTACATGATACAATTTCACCGGTAAGTCAAGAATTGATCGATAAATTTAATCGATTAACATTTAATTTTGAAGACGATCCTTCAACTTTAAATTAAATTATGAATTTATAATTTGTAAATATGTATTTACTTTTGACATTGTAATTATATAACTTTCTTTGTAAGTTTGTAAAATTTATAATTTATCACAAAATGATTATACTCTTTTTTTCTTGCTAAGTTTTTATCCCAACTAGATTTTCTTGATAAGATTTTTAACAAGACAATCATGAATTACAAATTTAAAAATTAATATACAAAATTAATTTATTAAATTGTGTTAATAATGTCAGTCTGTTGAATGTTGATTTTAGTTTTTATATAATTTTAACACAAAATAACTTACTAATTATAAAGATTAAAAAATATTAAAAAAAAATTTCAGGTATTTCGGGCGGGCTCGGGCTACCCGGCTGAGCTCGGGCTACCCGGCTGAGCTCGGGCAGCCCAAGAGAAGCCCGCGGCCCGTTCACATGCATTTTCGGGCTCGGGCGGGCGGCCCGAAATTTTTGCGTGGATCGGGTAAGGCTTCGAGCAAAAACTCTGTATTTTCAGACAATCGTAGGCGGCCCGTCCAAAATTCCGGCACTAATTACAAACATGGGACCCTTTCACAAAAGAAAAGAAAACATTGATTATAAGTAAGAAAAGGTTTTTTACGAACTTAAAAATATTAGGCCAATTCCAAGAACGAATATTTAGATCCGCTATGCTTTGGGATAAATTAGTAACTCAAATAGTGTAATACATCAATAACAAATGAGTAATACTAAGAATGTCTTGAGGGGGTATACCTGTATGTTCATAGCACCAACAAGGATACCGATTTCTACTCATGTAACTCAAAAAAACCACACATAACATCAATGAAAAAGGGGTAGAAAGAAGAAGAAGAAGAAGAAGTTTCAATCAACTAGGAATGACTCAAGACAACCACACATAACAGAGAATAACTTTCTAGTTTAACTTTAAAAGCGGTACAAACCACACGTAACACTCCAATGAAAAAGGGGTGGAAAGAAGAAGAAGAAGAAGAAGAAGTTTCAATCAACTAGGAATGACTCCAGACAACCACACATAACAGAGAATAACTTTCTAGTTTAACTTTAAAAGCGGGGGACGGGGGGTGGGCGGGGGTGCGGGGAATGACCCAATAGAAAATACGGCACAAGAAATGACTCAACATTATTAATTTCCAAAAAGAAAATAATAAAAGTATCAGCCATAGCAAAAGAGATAAGAAAAGTCTAAGTTATAAATAATAGCAGGACTAAAACAGAAAAACTCAGCTAAGTCATTGTTTTGAGCTTCAGTAATAACAGGGTATATAAAAGAAATGACTATATATATACATATATATAATTATATGCATGACAGGAAGATTTACTTCCTGACATTACACTATTGAAAACACTTAAATGAATAAGAACATAAATTCGTATCCAATTTCAACACACATAATATCATTAGCTAGACAATCAAAGTGACAAACATAAGAAATTGAAAAACCAGATCAAAGCACCCCAAAGCGGAGACCAAATTGGATAGATTTGCACTAACAACCAGATAGAGAGCGGAAGCGACTGAAAAGCTTAAATGACACAGGGCATCTGACGGTGATAAGCAACGCAATGGCAATTGCCAATTTCCCAGTGGAAGAAATTGAAGAGGGAGAGAAGATCGTAAAGGGATATATATATATATATATATAGAGAGAGAGAGAGAGAGAGAGTTTAGCCAACCTCGATGATGTGTTATGCTTGTTGAGGATGTCCTCCGCACCTTTGATGGTGAGGCAGGAGATACAGGGTTTTTCTTCCATGGCGGAGAGAACGGCAGAGACAGATCGAAAATGGGAGAGAGAGAAAAGTCAAGGAGACAACCCAAACATTTTCCTAATTTATAATTCGTTAATTGTTCTAGGTTTGGTAAGTAAGTTTGAACAAAAAGTTTCAACAGACAATATTTGTGAGAGAATATTATATATTTCAATTGTGCTCAAAACTAAGAGCAATTAGAGGTTTGATTTTCCCACCATTTTTTCAGAAAAATAAAAACTAGATATTACATTATAATTTCTACAATTTTCTTCTCTCGTTTTTGTTTTCATTTTCGAGGCTTATATATTCAATAAATATTTTCAGAAACACAAGGAAATACACGGTTACCTTTTTTCAGAAAAAAAAAAAAAACTAGATATTACATTATAATTTCTACAATTTTCTTCTCTCGTTTTTGTTGTTTCCATTTTCGAGGCTTATATATTCAATAAATATTTTCAGAAACACAAGGAAATACACAGTTACCTTTTTTTTTTTTTTCTTATGCTCAACAATCCCTCTAGAAAGATAATCAAATGCATTTCCAAAAACGATCGCAACAATAATCGATAAATCTCATTTTCATTTTTATACTCAAAACAAAACCATTTCCTAAATGCTATCAAAGAGACCCTAACTATGCAGAAGGAAAAAAAGAAAAAAAAAACACACACACACACACACAACAGTAATGGAATTACTCAATGCATCATTTATATCAGTAAAACCCCAAAACTCAAACTTGTTCCTTTACTTCATAAAATCCGGGAAAAAAAATCCCAATTCTCAGATTTGAATCCCTTAAGAAAAAATCTTATAATCGAGGGCTACAAGAACTAACCCCAACAATAATGGAACTATAGAAAGCAAATTTATTTATATCTCAGTAAACCCCAAAGCTCATTCATTTACTTCATAAAATTCCCAAAACAAAAACAAAAACCCTAATAGTTCACCACAAAATCCCCAATTCTCCACGTCCATAGAAGATATACAACTGCAGATTTGAATTCCTTGATTAAAAAAGAATTATTAGAATCGAGAGCTACAAGAACCAGTACCGACGAGACGTGAGAAGCTCGTAAATCCTAGTTTTTTCCTGATCGGGATTATTGAGCTCAGGCGTGGCGGGGGGGTTTGACGTCCATGACGCTCTTGACCTTGGGGGAATAGAGCTGGTAGACGATGGCCTGCCGGCGAGCAACCTCGAGCTGCGACTTTCCGTCGGAAAAGGCGGCGGAGACGGCGGAGAGATCGGAGAGGCTCCGTTTGTCGCGGAAGGCGTCGACGGTCCGGCGCTTGGCGTACTCTCTGATGTTGTAGTCGCTGAATTCGCGCGCCGTCCGTAGCAGAGACCGGAAGAGAGAGAGGACCTCCGACCTTGTTGGTGCGCTCGCGGACGCCATTTCTATAGAGAGCAGAATTCTCTTCGAAGTGGTTTTCGGGTTATGTGGAAGAACGAGGAAAATAGTGGTGTTATTTTGTGAAATAAAAATAAGGAGAATGTAGCCCGTTCGGTTCGTTAATTTAAATTTTTAATTTAAGTTTAAATATAATATTATGTGAGAGTTTTTTATTATAGTAAAAAAATTAGATGTGATTGTTTCTGAGAGTTTTTTATTGTAACAAAACTCGAATTCTAAACTCGAATCAACGAAAAGAACGGTAGATTTTTGAAATTTGCGGTTCGTTTAGTAAGAGAATTTAAGTAAGGGTGATTCTAATTATGATTCTAAAATTATAATTATAATTTATAATTTTGAGTTTAAATTATGATTTTGAAATCATAATTCAGAATTAGAGATTTGAATCATTTTGAATCAAGAGGGGGTGGTTTTAGAATTATGAGTGATTCTGGTTTAAAACATCACATCAGATGAATCATGATTCAGAATCATCCAAACGAATTAGAATCATTATTCAGAATCACTGTAAATAAACACTTATTCTGAATCAGGATCCAGAATCATGATTCTTTATTCATTTACCAAACGCCCCCTTGACGTTTGTTTCATAACTCAAGTCGTGACTCAAATTATATTGTTACAGTGTTTTCTCTCACATAAATTTAAATTTAAATTTTTTATTATAACATTTTTTTCTCACATACACAACCCAAATCATAACTTGAGTTATGTAAATGAACACACCTGCAATTTACGTGATAATGAATTAAGTAAATTAAGTAAGAGATTTTAAAAGTATTAGAAGTAAATAGAAATTTACATGACAAATGAATTATTTACTGCGTAAATAGTTGATTTATGGTTAATAAAAATATTTACGATTGATAAAAAGATTTTTTTTCTATGTAAATAAAAATTTTTAAAAATTTTACCACGTAAGTTATTTTTTATTAATCATAAATAAATCATTTACCGTATGATTTATTTACCACATCAAATAGTTTTAAAATCTATTATTTACTTAATTCAGTTTTAAAAATATGTTATTTATTACAATTTCCCTAAAAATTAGGATTGAATCTTTATGAAATGAAAGTAAGTACTAAATGAAGATAAATTTTGATAAATTGAGAATTTAATAAATTAATATTAGATTTATTTCATTAATGTAAGCCAAATTTACAAAATAGTTTAGAGGGATTTTGATCAAATTTTAATAAATCTCGGATTTCTATGACCAAATTTAGTAAATCTTGGATTTAATGAATTAACTGTTTCAATATTTATAATTCATTATTTACTTTATATTAACATATTGTTTTTATTTATATAATGTATACTATATATTAATTTTTTAAGTAAAGAATTTACTTTTTACCCTTACAAATTTTTGAATAATTAAAAAGACAAATTAGTATAAGTTAAGTAGAAAAACTATTCATCTATATTAAGGTTATGTCTTGGACCGTATTAAAAAAGTGTAATATATAATATAGTAATACATTAATGTAATGCAAGTATGACTATATTCATTAATTACAATTCACGTTATACTATAGAATACAACTCAATTTTGATTAATTGTATTGTACTATTATACTAAACATGGCCTAAAGATTAAAAAATGACAGTTGGTTATAATTTTACTTGATTTTTATTTGCGTTTGATAATTTAGAACCCAAATTTTTAATTTGAAAAATAGGATCCTAATCTGAAAATGTGTTATGATAACTCTAGGAATTAGAATTATTTTAGGCATTTCTAAGTTTATAGTTGGCTCATCTAAAGGTTTACTTGTTAATTTTCTGCTTTATTTAAACTTTTGATTCATGTGGTGCACTCTGCTGAGATTTATTTGTGTGTTGTTTCCGTGATGTTTTTGAAGAAAACTTGATCAAGGAAGAGGCTAACGTGTGTCCAATAGATGTCGTTTCTGATCTGCAGGTTTTGTGAGGATAAATACTGCAACATTTACTACAACAAAAATATGGTAGCACGCAGTTAGTGGATGACGTCAATGTTGGTCTCCGGATCGAATCCGGATGCGGAAGCGCGGTGGTGCGGGGAAGAGGCGGATCGTGTATAACAAAAATTTTCATAAAACTTTTGAGATACTCTATAGATTATATTAATTTATGCACGAATAAATTAATCTCATTAACTTATATATATCAAGAACTCAATCAGGAAAAATACCTTGAAGCCGACTCGGATGATAACTTGAGTTCTTTGACCACGAACAGTCCTTGCTCCAATCTTTGTGTTTAGAAAACCAATGTCTTCCACATCAATTCCTAGAATCCACGAAGACGTGTGTGTGGGCACACATGAGACAAAACGGGTTACAATAAACACTCAAATTTCCACAAACACCATCACATGCACGATGTGGAATTTTTGGAGAAAAATTTTTCCTTCCTTTCTCTCTTGAGAATTTCGGCCAGCCTTAACTCTTAGGGCTGAAAAATTGTTTCCAAAATTTCTATAGAGAAATTTCAGCTACCTCTAAAATTAGGGCAAAAAATCATTCCGAAAATTGTCTCAAAAATAGTATTTATAGAGTAGAAGTCAAACTTCTAAAAAGAATCCAATCTCTATCTCCAATTTGAATTTCGAACCAAAATTCTCCTCTATCCCTTATCCCTTGTGGCCGGCCATGCTAGGGATTCCTATCCCTCTGTGTGGCGCCAATACTGGATAGGGAAGGAAGAGAAAATCATCCTTTATCCTGTAGTCCAATTTTATTTCAAATTCAAATTCAAATTTAAGT